TAAAAACGATATTTTATTTTTGATTTTTGAATCATTACAACAATTCTCATTATAATAATGTAGTCTTCAATACAAATAATAAAGACTGAGATTTTAGTAAATGATTCGACGAGTTATTCATTGATTTGTTTTATTGTTTTTTGTCTGTCATTTCAAATGACATTCAAATTCTATGAATGATTTAATAATCGCATACTTTTGACTTGTTTGAATGTTTGAATACAGTATAATTTGGTTATAACTTGTAAGCAAATGATGTGATTAACAAAATAATGTACTGTATATTTATTTTTAGTACATTTTTAATTTATAAAATTAATTATAACAGCAATTAGTAAACTTAAAACTTTTTAGGAAAAAGGGGAATAAAAATGTTTTAATTGTTGTCATTTCCAATTAGTAAAAAAGTTATACATTTTAAATCGTAAATAATTTACAAATATATACGAAATTTTTAACCACAAATCATATGTAGATGTGGTTTACAAGATTGTTCGTCTATGAGACTAATGCTAATTCTATGGATAATGTTGATAGAATTGGAATGATGCATGTTCATTCTATGAAATTAGTGCTAAATATATGAATAATAATAAATCTAGGGGNACGCCTCACGTTCTGTGTGTTGTTCGCCGCCGGACCTGAATCGGGAAGAATTGGCGAAAACTGTGTTTCGGCAGTCATCTCATCAAAACTGGATTTCGCTTCCGGGTGTCGAAGAAGTGATTTCGGCGAAAATATAATCAGCTATTCGTTTAGTAATAAAATATTATTAGTTATGGAAACAGACTTAGACTTAAGGGTAAGAACTCACGGGTTTTCTGAAGGGAAGGGCTATTTGTCGCCGCAATATATGGAAATAACTGGCGGGTGTACTGCAATTGGCCACGATCATGTTGATGTCATGCAATTGCTTCATCGTAAAGTCCTCATCAATTTGCTAATTAAGTAATCAAATAATAAATACATTAAAATTTATGGTAAATATAAAACAATTAAAACTGAGTTTACGGGAAATTGTTCCGATTCAGAGTTGACGAGCTGTAAGAAGCGTTCGGGTCGAGCGCTGCTGTGTTCGGGACCCATGCCTTCCATACCATGCGGTAGTAATAAGACGAGTCCGCTCTGGCGAACCCACTTCGCCTGACCACTGCTTATGAACTGATCGATAATACACTGAGCGGTGTTGAAGAAGTCACCGAACTGTGCCTCCCATATAACCAATGCGTTCGGATTAGTCATAGAGAAGCCTAACTCGAAGCCAAGGACTGCATATTCGGATAAAGAACTGTTGCATACGGTATACGGCGCCTGATCTGGATATAAGTGACAAAGAGGTCTATACGTTGTTTTGTCAATTGTCTGGTGATGTAAGACATGGTGTCTGTGACTAAAAGTTCCCCTCTCGACGTCTTGACCGCTAAGTCTGACGTGAATTCCTTCCTTCAGTAGTGAACCAAAAGCCATGGCCTCCGCGAGAGCCCAATCGACGGATCGGTTTTCAATCATCTCTAACCTCGACTTCAGAATTCTTTTGATTCCGGGATGTATTTTGAAGTTTCCGGGCGGAGGAGTACTGAATTGAGTGCCAATATGTTTGAGCACTTCTTCCGGAGCACCGGTCGGATCGCATTTCAATTCACTTCTGGTGCCGAAGAAGCCACTCCACGGGGAGTCCAACCAGTCTTTGTTATACATCTTCACCTCCTTCTCCGCATTCTTATACGCTTCCGTCAGAATCGCATCGTATTTATCATTCAGTTCTTCGACAAAACTTTCTGAAACACTGTTTTCATCGACAAGTTTGCGCGCGTATTGATCCAAACACGTCACCTGTTTTCGGATCTTTGTGTACATCAATGGTTGGGTAAACATTGGTTCGTCGATTTCGTTGTGACCATTACGGCGATAACACACCAAATCAATGATACAGTCTTTGCCGAACTTTGCTCTCCATTCGGCGGCAACAGTGCAGACATAGACCACAGCCTCGGGATCGTCAGCATTCACGTGAAAGATGGGAGCGTTTACGACACGCGCCACGTCTGTGCAATAGGGAGAGGAACGGGCGACTCGAGGATCAGTCGTAAAACCAATTTGATTATTGACCACAATATGAATCGTGCCGTGCGTTGAATAGTCGGGCAAATCACTCAAATGAAAGGTCTCGTAAACCACTCCCTGTCCAGCGAAGGCCGCGTCTCCGTGTAATAGAATAGACATTACTTTCTTTCCCTGAGTGTCTCCGCGATAGAACTGTTCTGCTTTAGTCTTCCCCTCGACTATAGGATCACACGCTTCCAGATGTGATGGATTGGCGACGACCGCCAGCTTTATGTTCTTATTAGTGACGCGATTAAGTCTCTCGTGAGACATCCCTAAGTGATACTTCACATCTCCTGAGCCCTAATGTAATGTGATTTCAATAGTTAGCGTATAAGAGAACAAATCCAAACAAGTATTAATGGTTTACCTCATCCGCCGGCTCTAAACTACTGAATTGAGCGAAGATCTGTTCGAGTGGTTTACGACAGACATTGGCCAATACGTTAAGCCTTCCCCTGTGAGGCATTCCCATTACTATACTCTCAATACCCGCTTCACTCGAGTAGTCGATAATAGCTTTCATCGCTGGAATCAATACTTCACAGCCTTCGAGACCGAAGCGCTTCTCTGACGACCACTTTTTGGCCAAAAACTCCTCGAATTTATGCGAACGAGTCATTCGGGCTAAAAGTGTCCGCTTTTGCTCAACCGATAATTGGGTTATTTTTGGGGTTTCAAACTTCTCACGAATCCATTGGCATTGTTCTAAGTTATTGATAAACATATACTCGACGCCAATGTGTTGGCAATAGACGTCTTCTAAGCGCTTCAATATCTCCCTCAGCGGAAGTATAGACTCTCCGCCACCGATAAAAGTGGTCGACGGGAGCTTAAAGAGACGATCCATATCTTTCTCCTCTAATCAGTTGACGTAAGCATTAATTGAATTAATTGATTGTTAAATCAAATTGAAATAAAAGCGATAGACATTAGTGTAGAGGAAAGTGAGTGAAGTGTTACCCAAGTTATGAACCTTAAGCCAAGCGCCGTCTCTGTCAAAATTAGTGACATTTATGCTGAGGGGGTCTAAACTGGCGAAATAGTGGCCCCGAATCTAATGGTCAGTTAGAAATACAAGGTATGGACTGTTATAGACTGTGAACGCATTGCTTATAACGATTCAAACATTTGTTTTAAATAAGTTGTTAAAGAATTAGTGATAAAAAAGTAAATGAAATGAAAATGAGTGCACATGAAAAGCAAATAATAAGAAGCAGTGGATGTTTGGGAAGGAATACCTAATTTGTGAGTTCTAAGCACAACTTGCGGGGAAGAGGGCGTACCAGAGTGTAGCGGCGAATGGATATTCGCCGACGTTATACTTAACGGATCCAACTTTGCTACTAAATGACCCCGAACCTATTTGCCCGGGTGAAGGTATCCATTCGTTTAATAAATTAAGAATAATAAAAAAATTAAAATAAATTATAATTAAATAATAACATTGAATGCGTTTAATACTCCAACAGTTGATTAAAACAATTGTAAATAATTTAAAAAATATTGTATTTCTAAGACCTGATAAGATCTGATGATAGCCTGAACAGACAAGTGGTCGTCGATATCTCGGTGCCCAACAGCGGACACATCTGATGTCTGCGCTAAAGCTGTCGTTGAGGTTATCTTAAGTAAAAATTGATTTATAAAAATGTATTTTTAAATAAAACTGATCTAAAAGTTACATCTATTGCCGGTAAAGTATAGCCACTTGAGGTCAGACTCGGTGGGCTTTGGTAAGCGAGTCCGGGCTGTACTCCAGCCGAAGCGCTCTTGAAGAATGCATCCCAACTCTGGATTCAAATAGTAATTCATTATATATGTTGTAATTATCTATTATTTCGATTAAGTTGTAATAAAATGTTTCAAACATTAATAAAAGTTTTAAAATAAGCAAAAATTATTTTTCAAACCAATTACTGTATCAAATGAGATATCAATAAGAATATGTTTAAAGTGGTAATTTAAGTTTGATTACAACACATGTTAATGGTATAGATATAAAACAAATACATTATATCAGATAATCTACTTTTATGTAATAACGAGTACTAAATATCTGAAGTCAAGTCCAATTAACTCATTTTCAATTATTTTAATGATTATTTAATCGATAAACAATTATTTATGTTAAAAATCAATGTAAAAAGAGCCTATCCTATGATCCTCGGAAAACAATATACCCGTACAGTATTGTCGAAATCATGAATGCTGCTTAGTTCCCGGTAGCGTTTTCTATGGGTAGACCCAGTTGTCTGTCATTTGGATGTCTATGTAAGACAACGGGTCTACCCATAGATTACAGTGCATTTCGCCCC